GAAAACTCCCTGAGGTTTAGGGTTTAGGAGCCTCAAGGGACTCAGCAACGACTTAAAAGTAGGCTTATAATAACCCTATCTATGATCCCCTTCAGTGGACTGAGCAGGGTTTAAAGCCCACATATAAGTAGTTGGTCGGTAGCTGTAGAACCCTGAAACCCTAATGCGTGCACTCCTTAAATAGTAACACTGAAAAAGGTAGAACTCTCAGCATGTTGACTTTCGGGGGTGGGCAATGGCAACACTGTAACTATTCTTAGATATGCCGTTTCGGGCCCTAAAGCCTTGAACTCTTTAACACCCCCGAAACACCGTCTTGAGACTGCCCTCAGCCAGCTCCGAGGGTCAAGGGGACTTAGGAGGAACAGTATACCTTGAGCCCCTACGCGCCATATAATGACCGAAATCTCCGCATCAGCATACTAATTACTAGGTCCCCCCAACCCTGCAACCAGGAACCCTGATGGCATCAGCCGCCGAGAGCGGCACAGCTTGGGCGCAAGGGTCGTAGCTGCTCTGCTCGAGGAGGCAGCCAAGTCAGGCGGGACTCCTCCCAGTAGCACCTCCACATGGAATTGCGCATGTATTCCAATTTCTGCTGAGCGTAAATAGGGTTCCCAAGAAGTTCCTTGGAAATATCGCTAAATTACTAATGAATAAACAGGTATGCCTGTGTGTGTATATATATATATATATACACCATACACGTTTTGCGTACACGGGGGCATGAAATACGATCCTACCATATACCATGCTTAACAGAAGCATGGACAATCCCTTATATAACCTCTCCGGAACCAGCTTGTAAAGCTAAGCAGAGGATCAACCAATCAAGTAGGAAATCACCGATTCCGTGCGTGTGTGTACCTCTAGCTGGCTATGTGCCTATCTATCTCTCTGGCTATCTACCTGCCGATCTATCCATCCAGCTATCTGTGGTGGAACCCTGATCCCTAAACCCTACTTTCTATCGGCGGTTTGACCTCCCCAGGAATCACTCTGCAGAAGGCAGGAGCTTCTTTTTTTTCTGGAAGTTTTTAGTGTTCAGGGTGTTAGCACTATCCGTGAGCCTCTAGCTTTTTTGTCCATCTGAGCCCTGGGTCATCACGGGTTACCCTGCCTAAACCCTAAACCCTAAACCTTATAAACCCTAAACTTGCCAGAAACTCCCAGAGAAAGCTCTGACGCGCCATGGCGGGATGCCTTTCACTGGTTTAGGGTTTAGGGTTTAGGGTTTAGTCCTTTGTTTTTGGGATTGAAGGTGTAGAGGAGTTCGGTATTTGTCGCAGTGCCAGGAATCTTGCACACAGGTGAGATGGATAGTACTCCGGCATTTTTGGTTTGGCTCAACTGCACACTCAGATTGAAACCATGGACCAGTGGTATGGGCCCTTAACCCTGGGATCCTTATATACCTATTCTATACTCTACATAATATACCTTCAAGGGCCCTTAAAATGCCCCTGAAAGCCCTGAGGCCCCGTATTCGGGGCCCATACTTCTAACCTTAGATGCACCTGTACACAAAGTACATTCAAGGTAATCTGGAACGTGCTCAACATCCCAAACCCTCCCCCAAAAAGACAGTTCCCCCCGCCTCAAAATTTCCGACTGCTATAGGGCCCCATTGTCATTTTCTACTCAAGGGTTTAGGGTTGCTGGGATGTCATTGTATGTCAAGGTTTTGGAAAGTATGTTTGTTAACCCATTGATGACTGAGAAGCCACATCAGGCAGTGTGTGAGCATCTGGGTCCCACAAGATTCCTTTCACTTCTGGAGAAGTTGCTATGGGACCATCCAGACGAAGTGATGGAAGCTCCCTATGCCAATAATAATATTACTAGTACTAGTAATCATCATAAATTAATATTAGTAATACTAGTTCTAATAATACTGTTCAGAATGATTGCGATATTTTACCACAACAAAGACCTCGATCAGCCACGCGAGGTCGATTCTGACTGCTCCGACCTGAAAGGCCGGATCGGAGACTTGCACAGGGGGCAGGGTGTAGTGGGTTATGTAGGGGCTATATGATCCATAGTCTACACTCCTAGTATCCCCCTTCATAACTCCTATAGTAGTCCCGTATATAATCCCGTATGCTCAGCTCATATAGGCTTCATGATTCTTGCGTTGGTCCATCTGGAATAGCTTCCCATCTGGAAGTAGCTTCTTGATTTCAAATTGGAAGTTTGGCGTTTGGCGAAGCATTACAGGAGCCTTCAGCAAACTGCGCGATGACACGTGAATCCCAATGCTTATCCATAGCTACGTGGCTCATACTACAAAACCTTGGGTTTAGGGTTTAGGGTTTAGGGCACGGTTCAAAACAATCACATCCTTGGGAGCTATGGGAGTACGTATCACAATGGTTTATGGTTTAGGGTTTCGGTGTATCAACAGTAGCCTAATCGAGAAACTCCCATAGACACGAAACATTCCTTTTCAAGCTAGGTAGGGTCAACTGCAGTTATGACCATGTAATCTCCTGTCCTGTATGTAATCTCTTTCAATCACCAGTACGCAGAACACCAGTGGTTCATAGTGTACCTACTCTAGCCCTGCGTAATCTCGAGCAACAAGCAAGCAAAACCATTGGCCCTAGACCCTAAACCCTAATCCAGAATCTTTGGGGTCAACGCCCAACCAACTGAGAAGTCCCTTGCATCTCGTCCATGACTGGAGCCGTTTGCAAATGAAACGTTCAAATAAGACTCCCGGACTAAAGGCTTGGCGTTTAAAGTCTATGGCCTAGGGTTCAGGATTTAGGGCACAAGGGGCCCTAGAAATATTGTGGTCTTTAGAAAGCGAGGCTTTCGGCGGTTCCATGTTAGTTTGTGGGAGAGAGTGGCCCTCTCTGACGGCCCTATGTATTGAGAACACTAGTGGTGCGCAACATACGTAATTTCCTCGCCCCTAAGCCCTGAATTCTCTACATCATCTCAGTTTTCGTGTCATTTCCTTTTTCCCACTTGAACTTTGTCTCCATTTTTGAGATAGAATCCTAGACCCCAAGCTGAAAACCCAGTTCAACCTCTACTTGGAGGGTCAAGGAACCTTAGCAAGTAGGTTAATAACCCCTAGAACCCATATAGTAACCCTAATTATCCCCCTTATTAACCTACTTACTAAGTCCCCCTGACCCTCCAAGTAAACCCTAAACCCTACACCCCAAGTCCTAAACCCAAAATAGTAGTTTCCATTTTCTTTTCCACTACCCCTATATAACCCTTACATAAACACCTATATTAACCCTATATAACACATATAATCCCTAAAACCCTATAATCCCTATAGTTTCCAGTTTCTTTTCCATTATCCCACTATAACCCTTATATCACCCCTATAATCCCTATACAACCCATTATAGTGGTTTCCATCAACCTAAGAGGTGCCCAATGGTTGGACTGCGGTTCGGCTCGGGCGCTCGTCCTGACACCGCAGAGACCCATCAATGACAGCGGCCCTCAGCCGCCCTGAAAAAAGAAGGGTTTGGGGGTTTAGGATTGAGGATTTAGGGTTTGGGGTGGGTACTGCCGTTTAGGGTTTAGGTTTTCGGGCTCATGGGTAATTATACAGTGAGTTTTCATCAGGGCCATTAAAACAGAACCCAACTTGGGGGACTTCTAGGACCATGTATATACCTAAACCCCAAAGGTATGTAAAATAATAGCCCTACACCCATAATAATAGCCATAAAGGCCATTATTTTACATACTTTTGGGGTCCAGGTAGTCATATCCATAAGCAAGCGTGAGGCTACATGCTGCCCTGAAGTCCCTCAGTCAGCTCGCGGCCCCTTTCCTGGCCGTGGTGGACGATTGCTGGCTGCCACTGGGTTCCATGCGCTTTCGAGAGAACGGCTCCAGTGGAGGCCTTTAGGGTTTAGGGTTT